GATGGGTGTAATATGTGTTACAGAGTATACAGCTTGGTCTTACACTAGATGTGTACCTTTCAAACACTGGATTTAAGAGGCAAATTGTAAAATAAAAGAGCCTATAACTGTTTTCAACATTTTAGAAATGTGGAGCAATTCATCAGTTGCACTTTCAGAAGCTGGTATAGGTCAGCTGGGACAAAAATAATTTTCCCTTTTTTAATATGTGCTAAAGATAGTGTAGTTTAGATTAATTTAGGGTGAAATTTTTCGTATAAAGGAGCAGTCATTTTAATTAGCAGTCTGCTTAAATTATGTACAGTTTCCTAAGAACAGTATTCAAAATAATGTCAGCCATATTACATCTAGGTAGCGTTGAGGTATGCCAACATTCAACTGTGCATGTTTCTAATGCAAACAATGTCACCTTACATACATTACTCTTTCAATATTACATTATAACTGGTGATATATAACATTGATATAAAAAGCTAAGACACAAAAATAGATCCCGGATGTAGGTCACCCTCTTTTTGAAAACATCCAAAGGTGTCAGCTAGTTTAAATATTTTCCAAGCGAAAAAAACTGTCTTTGGCTACTACCACAGGATTTTCCCCTCAAACATTTTGTATTCTTACAAATTCAAAGTTTTCTTAGAGAAGATAGCAACCTTATTCAGCATTGCAAGCTAATGAACATATGGAAAGCCTTAGAGATATAGAAAGAACATCACCCACAAATAACAAAAAAGAAAAACAACCTCGTCGTATATGGTTAATACGAGAAACAGACTTTAGTCCCCTATGGCTTCTTAATGATCTCACGAAGAGAGAGAGCGGCATTCCAATAGTTCCTAAAAACGAGGAAATAGTAATGAAAAAATCTAGCTGTTTGTTAAAGTTGAGAAATTGTGGGGCTGTGTGTGTGTGTGTGTGTGTGTGTGTGTGTGTGTGTGTGTGTGTGTGAGAGAGAGAGAGAGACAGAGAGAGAGAGTTGCCTCATTAACATGGAACATTATATCAAAAGGTAATTTGGAAAGCATTACCATCAACCTATTTTATAAAAAAAAAATTTACTACTCCAATACACAAATGAAATGAAACATATCTGATCGGGAAACGAAAAAACACTAAAACATTACCTTTCTTACTGCAGTGTTACGTGATGTATTATTTTGGTCTTGATGGATTGTGACCTGTTCCGCATAGTAAATACTTAGTACGAGTGATATGACGCCGTATACATTGATTTAGACCTTCAGAGCAAATTAAATATAGTGTGTAGTTTACAGGAAATTAGTTTTCAAATGGGACAAATCTTGTCGTGATTTTTCAGCTCTGATCAATTTTATTAATCTTGGGGTATGTCTGTCTGCTTATCTATGTATTTGGCAAACAGACGTTTTCAAGCAATTTAGGACTGGTCAGAGGAAAATACTGCCCATCTAAATTTCAAGTCAAAGATAGAGAAAACCTGGAAGTGTGTGATACCAGTGTTGCCGATAGAGTTGACTCATGCCAAATTAATAGTCAGCAACTATTTTAGCTGGCAGTTAATTCTACCCGAGAGTTATCTTCCTAAATAGAAAAGTACGGCTCTAATTTCCCCTGGGAAGGTCCAAGAGAAGATAGGGCCGCTCATTTGCGAAGATTCTGGCACCACTTCTCTCTTTAGCTGTTTGTTTATACCAACCACTGTGCCAACAACACAGATGCCGCATTTGTTTAAAATCGTTAAGTGTCGAACGAAGGCAACCTAGTGAAGTTTTTGCAAGCGAAAATTGCTTTCTGTTATAATGCATTGAATTGATTTCGCTTTAATGATTTAATGATGGAAAGGCGACTTATACATTTCATTAATTTTATGAATAAAAAAAAATCCACAGCTGCTTTTGCTTTCTGTGGTATGTGTTACTTCTGTATTAGATGAATCAGATGATTCAAACTAATTTAAATACTGTGTTTTAATGACGTTTTATAAAGGGATGGTTGACAGGGCTATTAATTTGGTTATATGACAAATATAGAGACTGTACAATTTCTGACACAGACTTAGATGTCCATCCGTTCTGATCAAGCTTTTTGATTAAGGGGTAATCTCAGAGGATGGTGATTTTTTATAGTAGGAACAAAGACACTGCAAGAATGGCAGTCTGGTAAAACTTCGTGCAAAGAAACTGTAACAATCAGTTATCAGACTCAACAAGTGTTTAAACCGACTTTATAAATTGTAAGGTATGAACTCAACAGTGTAGACCGACTTTATAAATTATACAGGCCGCTTGTCATACACAAAAGCACCACAAGGAAGAAAGAAAATAACTATAACCGTGTTTTTGGATATCGTCAGGCAGAAAGATTTTCTGGGTTGTTGTTTGTTTCTTCCAATATTGTAAAATCGGTTTAGTGAAACCGTGTACATAAAAGATGGTTCTCACACTGTTTTGTCAGAATATTTGCCTATCAATGAATAGAAAACAATGAAAAAGTCATTAATCGATTACCTTTCCTTTCATATATACGTCTCTAACCAGAGAAACAAATCATTGAAGAATTGTTGAAAATAGTGCTACTTTGCATTCATACCTATATATTTAGATATTTTCAAAGTTGGGTCACTGTGTTCCAATTTATTTGGTGTTAAAATCTTTCCATATCTACGCTACGCGAGGGCACTGCTGATGACGTCGTGGGAGGGAACATGGGAACGCAAAGTGACACTTGTTGATCGGTGAAAGAGACATAAAATGGACGCATTTAGAAGTAAAATAGTTGAAACTAATACTTGCTGATTATTTCTTTTATTAGTAGGACCCCTACTGTTTGATATACATCATTATTCTCGCTGCCTGACACTTAAAACATGTCTAAAAGCTCTTACTGACGGCGGATAAATATTAAACTTGATTTAACGGTATACATGCGGCCAACGTCTGACACGTTTATTGTTGGTAGATCTACAACCGGATTTAAGAGGACGGTTTTGGATTTTATTCAGATCAAAGCTCTCTCTTAATCAATAAATCGCCAGAATTGTGGCTCTCAAACAGCTTTATTTAAATTGTGAACAACTCTTGATGCTTTGTCTGGGCGTCTTTCTTGCTTACGAAGATAAGACACGGCAGGCAGAGCATTGTTTAGTTGGGCTACTTTGGGTGCGGAGAGAGTTCACGTGCTATTGACAAGGAAGGACATTCTATCAAAATTACAGTATCCACAGACCTTTCCTTGTGAAAAAGATGAATAAGACTGTTTATTTAATTTGTATCGTCATCTAGATTCAAAGAAATGAAAACACAAGACGCTACTTCGAAGCTCGTGCATATTTATGATCAAAATTGGCAACAGTTACAATGTTGTCAAAGTTTTCTGACGTAATCCTCCAGAAACATCTATTTACTTTGTTTAACAAAGCTTGAATTCCGATTTGGGATTTGCCTTTCAGACTGAGCAACGATGTTAGCATGTCTTCCTACACAAATGTAAATACTTAGAAAGAAAGAGACGGGCAGCTGAAACCAAAATTTCCGTAGTAAAATGTGCCAACCAATCGAGATCTTCGTTAGCTGTCCGGTGACACTACTGTCAAAAATTATATTACCCTTTTAGGTAGTGTTTTATATATATATATATATATATATATATATATATATATATATATATATATACATATATATATATATATATATATATACATATATATATATATACATATACATATATACATATACATATATACATATACATATATATATATATATATATATATATATATATATATATATATATATATATATATATATATATATATATATATATATATATATATATATATATATATATATTTAAAGGACATGCCAGGTTTGCTCGAGATTTAATACCACATTCACCGGGGATAATCTTACTGTTGAGATTTTTCAATACGCTCCAAATCAAAATGGTTCACACTCTTAGCAGACAATTTGTTTTTGTTTGTTTGTTATTTTATGTGTTTTATTGCTGCCATATTTCTTTTTTTAGCTTAATGCTTTTTATAAAGGTCCTATCCTATTGATAACTGGAAACATTCTGACCTTTGCAAAGACTATTACTTGTGTTAGAAATAAGTATTCTTCACATTTGGGCATTCAAACTTTCAACTCATATTGCTTAAATGTTTCGCTCTCAAAACTATTTTTAAATGCTTATATTATAGCTTTTAAGATCGTGTGAATGGCTTATTTCCGTTTATTATCAATAGCGTTGATTAGTTTTAGGTTTTTTTAAATTTCGCTTCGAATATAGACATAGTGATTTCTGACTTTTATTGTCTATCGCCCACTATGCTTTTTCCAAACTCTGTAATAACTTTCGGTATAACACTTTGATTGATTTAGAATACTGACTCTTTAAAGTTAAACCAAATTTACAAAATTTATATCATAACGCCAATCCTTTCCTATAAAATCGATAACCGTAAGTACTCTGTTATAAGGCAACTCAAAACAGAAAAAATTCCCCAAAGATTCTGATCTACCGTAGCATAATGCGTCTGCTGATGAAAGTCTCTATTGCTCATCGTACTGATTACTCCTAACAAACTGCACCGAACCAGTTTTACGACGCCAGATCTGGGTGTCTGCAATTTTCAATAGTTCTCGTCTTATAAGCGAGTACAACGGTATGTGAGAAGCATTACATAACACGATCTGAACAATCTAGGACTTTTGTATGAAACAAATTCTAATGGGAACAGCTTCATATCAAAAATTAAAATCATATAGGACATGTTTCATAGATGTGATACGATTATGATTTGTAACGTAGCTTTAAAAATATTTCAGTCATATATCTTTGACGTCTGAAGTGTGGCAGTTTATAGTGATGTCTAGCACTGGAGCATCATGCCGCAGACATGCAGCCTGATGCTCCACCCAGTCACATTATCCTGACACCAGGCCGAACAGTCCTAACACTAACCTCTTAATGCTGAGCGTCAAGCGAGGAAACTGTTTGTACCAATTTTTAAGTCTTTGGTATGACTCGACCGGGGATCGAACCACGTCCTCCCACATCTGAGGCGGACGCTCTAACCACTAGGCCACCGGAGCACTTGTTTCGGAGATGAGAGTAGATTGTAATCAGACAAAGCAGATTTTTCTGATTCTTGTAATTATAAAATATTTTAGAATAAAATTAAATATTTTGACATAATTCGCTTTGCATGTTTCTTCTCCCTTAGGTTGACAACCGTTTAGTTCTTTGTAGAAAATATGTAAAAATTGGATTAACAAATATTTAAATACAGTTACATTTTTGCATATTGCAGGTACTTAGTGTCGAATTTATTGTAGAACCGCAATGTATTTATCACAAATACGGCACATATCGGGGACCAAAGTATTTAAAAATTTATAAGCAGTGAACCATGTATTTGGAATGCTTTTGTTGCGTAGTCATTGTATTTGTAAAGCGACGGTTGTTCTCACTGACATGGGAAAATCTACATGTACTTCATCTGAGAGGTAGTACATGTGAGAAAACTACATCTTCTTCATCTAGCAGGTGGTACAGGTAAACAAAATCGTATCTAGAGATCTCTCAGTTATTATAAAACTAATATACAGTTTGACACAATAAACAATAGATGGTTTACTGCCACTATAGTCGTCATATTCGTACTAATGTATAAACCAAATCACGTGGTTATCCAATAAGTAAACACAGGTCCAGTAGTGTTTTGTGCCTTAACTGTTATATTGGACCCCAGTATTTTGTTTTTGAGTGTTTAAAGGCTCTTTTTGATCTCTTAAATGCATTCTGTACTTTCATATTTTTTTTATCTTGTTTCCATTGCGCGTTTTTCTCTGACACGGGGCATATTATAATATCTTTCCACCACTCACCACAAATACTCAGCTAGCTTTGTGATTTGATAAAGGAGACTCTTACTTAGCGGACTCGGACCTTGACCTTACAGCCTGTAGAAGCTTCAAAGAATGTTTATCTGCTTCTTTCTTCTAACGCGTTGACTTTTTCTAAAAGCATGAAAAGTTTCATACATTTTAACAGTAGCTGACTGTTTTAAGTCCTTATTATCCCAGGAATTTTAATTCTGTATCTCCAAGAGTGGCTCTGATATATTTTGTCAGGAAACATGCAAATGACATCTGAATCGTGGGAAAATACAGTACTTTCGGACACGCGAGAAAATAAAGTATTTCGTACACGCGAGAAAATACACTATTTCGGATACACGAGATAATACTGAATTTCGGACAGGTGATATAATGCAGCATTTTGAAAAGCAAAGAATATTATCATTCTTAAACACAACAAATAATGAACTCATCTAATGTCCCAGCTAACGATTCCATGTTGCAACAATGTTGCAGCAATGTTGCAGTAAGGTTGTGGCAACGTCATATAACGTTGTGGCAACGTGATTTGGTGAACTAGCTGGAATATTGCTACAACGTTGTTGTTTAACGTTATAAAATAACCTTCCTACAACATTTTCACAGCATTAGAAACCTATATGAAAATCATATGAAAGTTGGTTGTGTTTCTAAAAACACACACACACACACACACACACACACACACACACACACACATTCCCCACTACTGGCAAGAATGTCCAAATCGAAAACACTGCAAAAACGTCAACATTGACATCCATCTAGGTTTTTTCAAGACTGCCATTGTCACCTATCAGCTGTCAGTTCTGCACCAATATTATATTCGACAAACCGAACATCACAGGTGATTTGACAATAATAATAATAATAATAATAATAATAATAATAATAATAATAATAATAATAATAATAATAATAATAATAATAATAATAATAATAATAATAATTAATAATAATAATAATAATAATAATAATAATAATAATAATAATAGCGATAATATTCCAGGGTACACTAATTGTTCCAAAATTGTACGAATTGACACTCTGCATGCAGTGATGCGTGTCAGCTATCACAAATTAGTTTAAAGTAGCACATATAAAAATGCACTCTGCCCAATATAGTCTGGCATTTTTATTTAGCAGTACATACACTGAAAAAGAATCATAAACTTAGGAACGACACAGATTTAATAATATATATATATATATATATATATATATATATATATATATATATATATATATATATATATATATATATATATATATATATATATATATATATATATATATATATATATGTCCCTTCTGAAGTATGCAATCAGTTTCAGTGCAAGTGTGAAGGTTTTCTAACATGGTTAATATGCAAACATTGATTTTTGTTCATAGTATCAAATCATCTTGCTGGGTACTTTTCCTAACAAACTTTACAGCAAGGCTTTCCATTATATTAAAATGTGGCAGGTGAGTTGACAAAGTAGGTCTGGATTTTGGTGGACCAACCCCAATAAGGATAATGAATTAAAGGTACCTGGATGTAAAGTAAAAGTAGATAGTTAAATCACATGACTTTTGCCTGATAAGAAATAACCCTGAATTTACACACTGATGGTTCAGACATTAGTTTTTAAGAGACAAAAATGAAAGAAAAATGCATTTTAGTATCACTTTTTGTTTATTTTCAAGATTAAATTATGATTAGGAATCAGAATCAGTCTCCTCATCCACTCTAAAGTTTATCTGTTTCTTTTTCTCCTCAAGCACCTGCAAATTTAAAAATATTTTTAATGCTTAAACAAAGTCAAATATCATTTGAGCTCTGCTTTCATATTTAAAAGTCATATTAACTAGCGTTAAGGGTTATCCATAAAGGATGTAAATGACCTTGTGGATATCAGCAAGCTAATATTTTCTGTTATGATATTCTGTGTTGAACAGCTGCTTTTGGCCTACTGTTTGTATTCCAGTATGTTTTGCAGACATCCTTTATGGGTGATCCTTAAGTATAAATTATTTGATAATTTCATTTTTTTACGATTCGTGCCACAGCATATACTTCAATTGATTGGCATTAATACATAGGTCTGGCTCCCAGTGTCTGATGTTGATTACATGGCCCACACATCAGCCCTTTGGACCTGAGGAAATAGCCAATGCACCACGGCCTGTATAACTCTCTAAGGCCTGGCCTGTGAAGAAGAACCTGACTGACCATGCGACTGCAGAGCTAGTCGCAGCCTCCCTTGAAGCAAGCAGCTGGCCGCAGTAGCCACCACTACCAATGTTCCCTCTAATATTTTTCCTGTGTGCGCAGAATTTTAAAACTGCATCTGCTGCACAGCACATGTATTATGCTACCAAAACCATAGAGCAATGTATAATGCTACCAAAACCATAGAGCAGTGTATAATGCTACCAAAACCATAGAGCAATGTATAATGCTACCAAAACAATAGAGCAATGTATAATGCTACCAAAACAATAGAGCAATGTATAATGCTAGATGGGGACGACCACAGCCATAGAGGATGGGGGTGTGGTGAGGTGGAAGTCACATGCGGCCAAAAGCGGCCATGGGAGTAGGGGACTTTAAGAAAACAGATATTATCTGCACATCTCATTTATGGACAACCCCTTATGAAAATGTATTTAACATTCTTAACTGCACTTGTGCTTCCCTTAATATTGTTAAGCCAAGTTCCAAGGTAACGCTGCACTTGTCATTTCAGGCAAGTGGATGGTGAAATCTGTTTATACAAAGATGAATTTATTTTGTCCAGATATATCATGTGAATAAAATTCCAACTGGAAGCACTTGCCTGATCAGACAAGATGGTTGTAAAATGTTGTTAGCTGCACTCTAGATTTGACAGTCCTGGGAATTACAACAAGCTGATTTTGTTAGCAATTATGAAATGCATTCACCTTGCAAATACCATGCTTTAAAAGACAAATTGAATCCTATATTTATGAAATAAGAGTCAAAAAGCTAACATTGTGTTTTATCCCTCTGCATTGGTTGGGTGCATATTTTAGGGTCTCCTAAATGACCTCTTCAATTTCATTTGCTTTTGCTCTGCCATTATTTTTCAAGCAGGATTCTGCAAGGGTAAAACAATGTTTTAAAACAAGTTTCACAACAAAGGATGCATTCCTTTGTTCTAAATACCAGCAATAACTAATGGAGTATTTATAAGACAGACTTCGAAATGTGGTCCCATGTAGAACTAAATATTTTGGTATAATTATTTTTGAATAATAATAATAATAATAATAATAATAATAATAATAATAATAATAATAATAATAATAATAATATTATTATTATTATTATTATTATTATTATAATAATATTATTATTATTATTATTATTATTATTATTATTATTATTATTATTATTATTATTATTATTATTATTATTATTATTATTATTATTATTATTATTATTATTAATATTATTATTATCATTATTATTATTATTATTATTATTATTATTATTATTATTATTATTATTATTATTATTATTATTATTATTATTATTATTATTATTATTATAACTCTTCTTTTCAGTATTTCAGAACAGATGTCACGTAACGTTACGTCTAGCAAAAATAATTCAAAGCACTAAACGTGTCTACATAATTGTCCAAGTGACAAGGTATGTATTGATAATTACAATCCCATTAATTAGCATTTTAACACGGCAAACATCAGTTATGCAGAAGCTCGTTATATATCTTTCTTTCAAATTAAAAAAAATACTGAAATAATTTAAAGAAAACAATTAGTGTTAGCACATAAATTGTCATCTTTTTAAACTACTTTCTTAAATACAGTTTACTGATATTAGCTATGTACTTAACTGTTTGAAAGCACATGGAAGACCTTTAAAATTCAATGATCTTTTTTTATAAATTTAACTACATGTATATATCATTGTGTAATATCCACAACAACAAAACTACAATTTTATGCAGAATTCCCAAAAATATATTAGTTTGGTTTAACTTGAGAATTATATCGAAATGAAGCTATAACTAATTCGAAATTTTGCAATAATATTTTAAACTTCTCTTTCAAATATCACAAATATCAGTTATATTAACCTACATTTCATTTTAAGACGTACAGGGAGTTTGATACCAAAATCTCGTTCCTTTATCATGGATTTCCTTTATTACCAGTGTATC